TTGTCCTTTCCACCTCGACAAGTTGTATAATAAATAGGACATGAAATGTTTTGTGGCTTTTAATACGGCGAGTTTTGCTAATTCTATCATGTATTCCTGCGGAAAAAGAATCCTACAAAACTATATCAACCCCATACTACCCCAAAGTAGTTTCCTGAGTTTTACAGAAATATTTTTTTAGTTCAAGACATTAACATATTATTCAATCTTCTTAAATTTGATCACATTAACCAAAATATTTTTTAAATGCTCCAGTTCAAATTTCTGTACAAATTTCATTCTGTACAGTGAGATACACATATTTTGTCGGTTGTTACTTGAAAAACTTGCCAAGGATTTCCACGTGTAAATACAAATTTCTTGAAACAGATTTCAAGATAATTTACTTCCTGAATTTCCAAGAAAATGTTACATGCATTTGTCCCATTGCCAGTCAACTGCACCTTCACAGTTAAAATATTCTTTGATCTCATCCCTCACTCTTTTTGCATGGTTGGATGGATTGTTGCCATATCTCAGCATTGCCAAAGGCAGTAAGTTTTTGGAGGGAGTACCATCATCTCTCCAGGAACCTAGAACAATTTCACCGGTAGACAGATTGACGTTGTCAATAACACGAGGTGGAACATAAACATCTTTTGATGATCCTTTGATCAGCCAGTTGTGAAGGGTGACAATGGCTATGGTGACAGTCTCAACTTTGTTTAGTTGAAGGGGAATTGGAGCACGAAAAATTCGCCATCGATTGGCAAGAAGGTCAAAAACATTTTCCACTATTCTTCGAGCTCGCGAGAAACGATAGTTTCAAATCCGTCTTTCAAGGTCCAGGTCTTGCTGAGGATAAGGCTTCATCAAAAACGGCTTCCGGGCAAAAGCATCGTCCCCTACAATTACGATCTTCTGTTCTACTTGGTAATGGTTCGGGCAGTGGGAGATCAATTTCCTCATTTTCCAGCGCATTGCAGAAACCAGTTCGATTCCAAACTCCTCCGTCTGAGACTCGCCCATTGACGCCCACATTACACCTTATTATTTTATAGCTTGGTCCAGCAAGAACCATTAATACAATGGAGTGACTCCCTTTGTAGTCATAAAACAGTGAGCCCTGTCCACACGCCTGGATGACAACATGCTTCCCGTCCAGATCTCCCACGCAATGAGGAAAATTCCACCTTTCGCTAAATTTGTTTTCTATTGCTTTCCATTCCTCTACTGTGGACGGGAATTGCAGACACAATGCTCCCAACGCAGATAATATTGCCTGGCACACTTCAAGTACAATGTATGAGATGGCAGTTCTGCTCACACGAAACTGGAACTCAAGGGAACGAAAG